GTCCACAGCTCCTCCCGAAACATCCCTCAGGCCTGGTAGGGGCACAGCCCTAGGTTGCGTTTGCTCATATATTGGCATTTTAGTGAAAGTCTTTAAAGGAAAATAGGATTGCTATTTTCACACTGCCTTTTCTTTTCATTTTCCAAGTCCCCTCTTTTCTTTGCCTCGTAGCTCACCCGTCCTGTTCATCTCTGATGAACTGTCTGAAAAGGCCTCGTGTGCAACCAGGCACCTCCCCGGCACTCAGAGGCTGTGACTACAGCGTTTCATTGTCCTGGCGGCTCGAGACTGTAACCCAGTGATGAGAGCACTCTCTGTCCTGGGGGGCGGGGGAGATACCTCCCATGTTTTTAATTCTGTTTCTAGGAAGGCTTTTTACCAAAAACAGGGCTAATGATCAATTTGATGAAAACCAAGGTATACACTAAGTTACAAATGCCTAGCACATAGGACTGGGTAGTGATTATGTCAGGACTTGATTTAGAGCTGCATTTTCCCCAGAATAATTATATAGAAAATTATGGTAGTAGCCCTAGCCAGGTTGGCTCAGTGGATAGAGCATCAGCCTGCAGACCAAAGGGTCCCAAGTTCGATTCTGGTCAGGCTCGTGCAGGAGGCAATCAATCGACATGCCTCTCCTTTTTTTTTTTTTTTTTGGAAGCAAGTTAACTGTCTGAACAAGATTAAATATTTGTACTGTTGAAAGTGAGAGGGATGACCAATTGATCCAATAGCCACAGGTGTTGTAGATGGCCTGGCTTTATCTCGGATTGCACCTCTAGCTTGGCTGTGTGACCTTAGGCAAGTAACTTAACCTCTCTGTGCCCCAGGTTTCTCATTTGTCAAATGGGGATGAGAACAGTACCTAGTCACGGGTTATCGTGAGGATGAAGTGAGTCACGCTGCAGTGCTGGAACATGGTAGGTACCACGTGTATGCCTGCAGTTATTATGATACCTTAAACACTCCCCCATTTCAGATGGTTCATCTAAAGAAATTTCTCAAGGCTCATTATTTAGCTACTTTGTTCTGATGACGGCATTTATCTGAGAGGCCCAGCAAGGCTAGTAGTGTCTGGGCCTCTCAACTCTGGGATATCAAGATACAGGGTGGCAGGTCTGAGATGTGTGAATGGAACAAGCCGCTCTCCTCAATGCCGCCCCCCCTCCCCGGCCCCCGCTAATCAGAATGACCCAGCTGCCAGGTTTACCAGGCCTGGCGCCCTGAGATGGCCCAGCCCCTCCCACCATCTCGATGTGCTTCACTTTCTCTCGGGGTTCTTGGCTCTTCTGGGGGGTGCTCAATAGGGAAAACTTTAAGCCCTTACCATAAACACACCATCTCTACAGCATTTACAACCCTGACTGCACATGAGAGCTTCCTAAATTCCCCGTTTCCAGGTCACACCCCAGACCAACTGACCACAACTCTCCAGGTGGGACCTAGGCTTTAGGACACGTATCATACCAACCCCCCAACCCTTCCACCCCCCCAAACCCTC